CCTTTAGCTACATTTCTACTGTAAATTTCACCATAATAACATCTTCCGTTAGTGAGACATTGCAGGAGATCTATGGCTAACCAGAAACACTAAGGGTCAGAGGATCATACTTTTTTTGATTATCAGGTAGTGCAAGTGTCAACTGACTCAGAATCATAATTGCAAATGTTTGGTTTATCATACAGGATTCACCATGAGATCGGCCCCAAGCAGTGAAACTGCCAAAATTTGAAATGTTTCACAGTGTGAAACAATCATGTGTCTTGGCCACTTTGATACAAGCCTCAAAGCAGTGCTTTGAGCCGGAAGTGTGACAGGTGGTACAAAGTGTGTCAATAGCTATTTTGAGTCCGGCCATCACTACATCCAGCAGCCTTCTCGCTCCTTAGAGCATATATCAGAGTCTTGGGACATCCTCACTCAAACAATGACTTTGAGGGTCGGGTGTGGATCAAGGACCAAGGTCCAAACAGTCATATAAAATACTTCACCGATTGTTAATCCTCAGATTAACAATGTAGATTCCACCCTGGCTGTGGAACAGAGCACAACCCTTTGCTGGAGGGATCATGTGAGTCTGTCTATCCAGTGTACAGTACATGTGTGTTGTGGACTTGTAGAAGTCCTATGACCAAGTTCCTTGGGGAGTCTTTTGGGGGTACTGTGGAAGGGTGGGGTACCAGGGCTGTTGTTAGAACTCATCCAGTCCTCACATATAACCGGCATGAGAGGTGTGTTCATATTCTCCCTAAGAAGTCAAGCACATTCCCAGTGGGTGCTGGACTTCCCGACGGTTGCCCCCCTGTCTCCGATCCTGTTTGTGATTTTCATGGACAGGATTTCAAGGCACAGCCAAGGAGAGGAGTGTGTCTGCTTTGTCTGTGCAGATGTCTGCTTTGATGTGTCTGCTTTGGGAACCTCAGAATCACTTCTCTGCTTTTTGTAGATAATGTGGTTCTGTTGGCTTCATCAGACCATGACCTCTACGAGACACCATGTCACAGTAAATCTTTACTGTATCAGTGTATTATCATGTATACTGTGCCATAGTGTATAGGACAATCTCCTATGAGATGGCTTGTCTGTCTAGAAAAGGGCTCTAGATTAACATTCATTTGCAATAGCTTGTGGCTTCCCCTTGGGTCTGTCATTGATTGAACTAAAGGAGGACTTATGAAGTGTTCACTCCCTCCCTCCTCTAGCTAACAGGGCCTAACCCCTGTCCTGCCACACCTACCATACATACGCTGCACACACATTCCCCCTCTCATGCTGCTTTCATCTGGGCGTGAAATGGATTCCTACTGTCTGCCAGAATGCACCACCTATCTCTGGATGTGATTTTCTTTCACCCTGGTTCTCCATACTTTCTCTGTACCACACATGAGCCCTGTTGTTTCCCTTGAAACATGCTTTGCCCGCACTGCAAAGTCCACAAAAAGCATTCCCGGTGATTATGATAAAAGATGATTAGAAATCCCATTGGAGCTAATATTTTATATGACAACTTGAATTTGATCTAAATCAGAAACACATGACGGCCCTAACCTTTCTAAAACAAACCACAGCCATCCCTGGAATCCCCAAGAGAAAGGCATGTTCATGAAATTCCTTCATAACTGGCACACACACATGCTGAAAGTGTGAGAGAGGTTGTAGTATAAAATATTGATACCTCCCGCTGCCACATGATTTTACATGTCCACAAGCAGAATGTTTGGATTTGAAGAGGAAGGAACTGAAGTTATGCAAAATGATGGTCTTGTTACAGCAAGTAATGAAAGTAAACCCTGATCCAAGGAACTGCCTCAGACTGAGAATGACTGCAAACTCTAAACACAAGCTAGATAATTTGGTGTGATTCAGATATATTCTGCTTTTTCTCTCTCATAGGGTTGGCCCAGTTATGGCTCAGTGACCCTATCATAATTGGACACACATTATTTGGATCATAACAATCTGCAGAGACTTGGAATCCACCTGATGACCAATTGTTATCTGGAAGAATAAATAGTAACTGCAGAGAGGAAATGATAAGGAGTTAAACTTGAAGGTTCCAGTGAACCAGTTAGATATTTTCTCAGTACGGTCTAAGCTGTATCACTTGAACTGCCAGCAGAATTTGAATTGTTCAAGTTATCTCTGAGTGAATCTCCTCCTGGTATGCTATATTTCTACACAGACAGAGAGTAGAGGAGAAAACGCTTAACTGCATGGTGTCTGTGTTTAACTCCCAAGTTTGTGCTCTCAAGTTTGGCAAGATTTACCGTATGTGGTTACTTATAAAAATGGATTTTCGTGACCTCTTTTTAGAGGATTATATAATTGCTTAAAGGCAGAACTAAAAAGAAAAGGCCAAATTAAAAACATAATACTAGAACTTATTTCACATAAACACATATATAAAATTGCATGAGACTTCTTTGCATTTAAGAGTTTACAGTGTAGCACAGTGACTTTTACTAACTACACTTCACTTTAATAGTACACTTAAGAGACACTTGAGACACTTTCATTACATTTTGCTGTAAAATTTTACACAACTACTTTTTTAAAAAACTCTCCTACATTAATGTGACAGCCATAGTTCCTTGTTGTCTTGCAGATTAAAGGTATCCTCTGGATACCCTGCAACCATTTGTGCACTACAGAGCAATGTTTTCAAGACTGGAAGCCTTTTTTAAGAAAGTGTCACCAAACGTGTAGAATAGCTGACTGTGAAAACATAACTTGTTCATTAATTTTGAACTCTATCAACTACCAGACTTTTCTGATATTGCAATAAAGTCATCCATATGGATTATGTCATTTTAATCCGGTAGAAACACAGATTATGGCTAGATAGGTACAGAATAGACACGTTCTCCAAATGTGTCACATCATTTTGAGAGTAATGATAACATCACCACTAAACCTTTGATTATTAGATTAGATTTGGCCAAGTGCTGTGTGTATGTGGGTACATACTGTAGATTGAGCAACACACATAAACACAGACATAGACACATACACAAAGATGGTCTTGGAGATATGAGAAGAACAAATGACTTTTGGCTCAGCCTTTACTAACACTGTCTCACCAGCCACACACTTCAGCACACACACAGAAACAGCATTGTGGGTAATGATTTTCTTAAACTTCAATATCATCATCTATGATCATCAAAAAGTGCAATTTTAAAAATGTTTCAGGAATTTTCCTGTGCTCGAAGAACGACAGAGGGCTTCATTTCATGAAAAGAGAGAAACAAATTAACTGTGACGTTGATTCCAAACAAATTAACAGTACAAACTAAATTCACAAAAGAAAAACCATACATTGATTTTAACCTAAACAAACATTGTTAATGAAAAACAAAAAGATTTTAGACACAGCATAGTAGAGCAAAAGCACTGAATAAAAAGTTGTTCTGTAACTTTGCTGATTAATGGGAGAAATGGTGTTTCCACGTTTGTGATTCCATGTTTGTGCTCTCTACTGAACTGGTCTTCTGGGATACATATGACTAATGCAGTTCCTCTGCTGTTATTTTAACATATCTACTGATAGTCTGTTCCCTCTGCTAAATGAAGGCTAGTCAGTTTGCTTGTATGTAGCACCATCTTGTGGCAATTGTTAAAGGAAATGTAATCATGCCATGGTGTTAGTAATAGCAGTGAAGGTTATTGTAATTTACACTAGTGGAATAAATACATATCCATGTGAGTACACATTAAACACATGTGTGTGTGCATGTGTGCAGGAGTCTGTGCCTTTGTATTAAGCATAAGCATAACTTTATTGCCAAGTATTTCAAGAACACAAGGAATCTGACTCCAGCTCAATTACTTACATTACAAACAAAGCTCTGTCATCATAATTTAGCAGAGCACCCTGTAAAGCGTCAGACTGATCACCTGCCTGTCAGATCATCAGGCTGCACTTCACATCCTCTGCAGCTCGATCAAGTGGCTGCTGCTCCAACCCCATCACTACAGACTGAAGTGATGGTTGGGTCTGTGGTTGTGATTTAGAGAAGGGGTGTATAACTGGTTGATGTTGAACACCTGCACATGGTGGATGACTGCCTTCTTTTCCTTTACTCAAACTAATCACAGTCGTTTTAGCAAACACATCTTCAACAAAAAAGCTTTAATGTAATGTCATTCAGAACCTTATGGTTACTGGACGAAGGAGACTGTGGGGATTGGACACAGCATAATGACCTGATTTTGCCTGTGCTTTATAAATGATACAAAGGGAAGCAGTCCTTGGTGTTTGAGACACAAATAAACATGTTTCACTTCACAAATGTCTGACTCTCATTTCTCCATCACTCAGTGGTGCTTTTCCTGAAGTAAGGAAAATGGATGAAAATGAAAAGAAGGAAGTCCCGGTGTCCCGTACAAAGGACAGGGAGTAAAATGTGTCATTTGAAAAGCATAAAATTAACTTACAGTTCTAAAATTTTAGTATTGTATAGCTAAGACCATAAATAAAAAAAACAATATTATGGAAAAAAAACATACAATCTTTATAAATTTCATCATACTTCCTGCGCCAGCTCAGGAACTTCAACTTGCCCCAGAAGGTGCTGATATAGTTCTACAGAGGAATCATTGAGTCTCTTCTCTGCTCGTCCATCACTGTCTGGTTTGGCTCAGCAGCCAGACAGGACAGGAACAGACTCCCGGTCATTTGAAGCAGAGAACCCTCTTTCTTATTTTCTTGTTTGATCATCACTTTCTTCTGCAGAGGCCAAACCCCTCACTGACCTTCAGTGTAAAGAGTCATGACAGGATCTATTATATGGGGAATTTGGGAAGTCGTGCACATTATGCATTTTGCTCTTCTTTTTGGTACCATTGTTCATTTAGAGTTGTTATTTTTATTTTCATTTACATCAATATATTTTAAATGATCCCTTGTTTTGCTAAATACACTACATATTTAGCACTCCCTGGTTGTTTCATGTTGAGAATATGCATGCAATAAACGAATACATGTAAGAAAGACTTAAGGTACAGTATGTTGTATAGAAGTATTAAAAGCATTTATTTTCAACATATTGCATACCATAGCTCAATAATACATGGAATCAATGTGCAGCTCCAACATGGTAAACATCTTATATCCTGAAAACAATCCTAGCTGAGTCTCAGTCTGAGAGCAGTCACATTTTTACTTTCTATCCTTGCAGTGATGCCGTTGTTATGACCAGAGTTCCTTTCTGAAGCATGTCACACATCGCTGGTCAGAAGTTTCAGCTGTCTTTTGTTTTTGACTTAAGGAACGGCTTGTGTAGCACGTCATAGAGTCGTCTAGCCTGCAAGCACAAAAATAGGAACTTAACAAATGTTCATGCTACCCTCTTTATATTCATATCCTGAACATGTATTTTACTCACTTTTTGTGGTCCGAGGCCTGGACAGAGAACCAGGTCTTCCTTAGAGGCATTGATGATTCCTTCTACAGACTGTAAAAAAATATACTGACTAGATGATTTTGTTTGAGAACATCACTAAATGAAACTAACTAGAACAAAAGCACTCAGTGAGCGCATGTACCTCTGCCAAGGCACAATATTTGCTCACACAAATTGGTTCCTTGTGAAAAATGAGATCCAGAACAACACAAAATGTGTCCTAAAATCCTTGCTCCAGATTGGGTCTGGATCATCTTTTAGGATATGATAGGCAGTTGTACTGTGAATCCTGCCTGAACATTTCAGGGTTTTGTATTCATTATAGGCCAAGTTATGGCAGAAAATATGCTTTAAATGGGGTTTTTAATGTTAATTTAAATGACCGTCAGAGCCAAAATTTGAACCTTTGACCTTTTACAGCCAAAATCTAATCCCTTCTAGGGTTGGCCCCCACCAATGTCTGTACCAAGTATGCTGATGATCCATCCAGGCACTTGTCTGTAATCCTGCTAACCAACACCAATACACACATAGAACCAAAAATGTAACTTCCTTGCAAAGGTAAGTAAAAGATCAATTCTGAGTCTGTGGATAGAAGCCAGTTTAACCAGTCTGATTAGACCTTTTTGCTGTACAGAGCAACTAATGGGCTAAAATGTGGTACTCACTGAGAAAGCAGAGAGCAAGGTAATGGCATCAGTCTTGTTTATAGACTTGACGGTTGTCAGACAGTCTGTAACCTGTAACAAACAATAAAATCCAATCAGCATGACACCATTCAAAGACTGGAAAACACAACAAGACTTTAGGAAATACTGTGACTGCATAAACTTTCACTTTAAAAAAATAGTATGAAACAAAATGAGTGGATCCACACACCTTTGAAAGATAGTCTTTTTCAACTTGCTCCTTCAGTAGGTCTGCTGGTTTCTTTTCATATGACTTATAAGTTTCCAGGTAACGCCCTGCTTCCTCTGGACTGTCAAATCAACATAACAAAATAACAGGAATGTTTTATTTATGTATTATATTAGATTATATGTTAGGCACAATCCTAAATTATTAATAGAAACAAGAAAACGATCTAGAGTTAGGCTAGGAGGAAATGTTCCATCTGTTGACCCTGGCCAAAATAAACCAACATATTTTATGAATGACTGTTCTAGTATGAAAGACATTAAATACCAACTACAAAGCCCAAGATGCACATAACACATTAAAAAACAAAAATATCTGATTTTATCTTCTACTTATACTTTTTGGGTAGCAAGGCCAATACCTTTTGCAAATCAACAATATAAAATACAATATTTACAGTTTCCAAGTACTGTCTCTTTTATATATATATATGTATATGTCCTATAACAATCATCTTGGCAAACTGTTGTAGGTCTTACCTCCAAGCCAAAATAAGAGTGCAGTCAGACATGATGCAGATGCGAGCCAGCTCCTTCAGTGCATGATGAGGATCTTTCTAAGGTGGAATAAACAAAAACAAAAAAACTGTCAGTGACAAAGAACACAATAATTCTTAAACTTTATAAATGGAACTTGAGGCTGTAGGTTTGTTTCCAATAGAGATGGTCTAAAAAAGTTGTTTGAACCAGATCTGAGTCATTTTCCTACACAATCTAGTATTTGTCAGTTCTATCACTTATATTTTTCTAAGCATAAACCTGAAACTGCCTCCAGCTGCTCATCACACTTCAAATGCAACACTGTTAGTGAAAGAGAAATAGACAAATTAATAATTCAGAATGGGTAGCTCTCATTACAGCTCCTTTGAATGTTTTGTGACACTGTTCCATTTGGAGAAAAAAAAACTGCTGAATGTTTCAATCCTTGTCAAAAATGATTCCTGTAGATAACGTCACCTATCAGTCAAAGAGCTACACTAGTTAAGTTATAGTAGCCCATAGATGTGTAAAGGTATTTGTATTAACAGCTGACCAGATGCATCCAAGGGTTTATACTGTATGTCTCCTGGAAAACTAAAATGACGAGAAGAAACCAAGTGAACATGGAGACATGAAGAATTAGTGTAACGGGGAATAGTGAATTAGTGGCAGCAGCACTTTGGAAGTGCAGTAGGTTGGGATGGAGTACGCCACTGTAGTGATTATACTCTTTTCAATGAAAATGTTAAAGCAGGAGTTGAACAACATATACAGAAAATAAGTGGAATATCAACACAGATACCATTTATATTTTTTTATAGTTTGAGCTACATCAGTTTGTTATAAATAAAACATTTTAACAGATCTGATATGCGGCAACCGATCAATTAAAAATGTCTTGATTGGCCTCAACAGTGAAAAAGGCATGAATATCTGCAACCACAATATTAAAGAACATAGCACTTGAATTAATACAATTTGTCAGTGCTTTGATTACAAAATGTCTTTTTACTTACCACATCCACTTGAACCAGTAACACTCGCAGGGTGAAACTCTGCCCAAGTTGCTTGAGACGATCATGGATGTAGTTTGGGTTAAGGTTGTGATACCTCAGGCTTTAAGCCAGACCCAAATCCAATATTAAAACACACAAAAGGGAGAAAAAAAAACATGTTTAAAAACCTGCATAGTTACACAAATATTAATACAAATATACATCCATCCATTATCTATATCGCTTATTCCTGAATAATGGCGTGGGGGGCCGGAGCCTATCCCAGCTCAGATTGGGCGAGAGACGAGGTACACCCTGGGCAGGTCTATCACATGGCTTAATACAAATATTACTGCTCATAAAAAATAACCTATCACTGGAAACTGGAAAAAAGTAACAAACAAAACATTGCTCCACCAACTACACAAGTAAACACTTTTTAAACTCTTATACACACACACACACACACACACACACACACACACACACACACACACATAAAAGGCATAAAAACCAACCTGAGGAAGAGAGCACATGTCATCTGGCCCAAGACATAGTCTGGTACAATATCTCCAAACTCCCATGGGACACTCCTCACAAACTTCAGAATGGGATTTCCCCTCTAAATAAGTAAAAACAAATATGTGCTGTTATAACTACCACTGCGTAAGCCAACTAGCAAACCTCTAACACTTACTTCTTTCCAAATCTAAGAACCTGACTGTCCATGGAAAACACCTAAAACTAAATTACTTGAAAATGGGCCCTTGAAATTAAATAAGTATGAAGAATGAAGTGACTGATGGATGGATGGATACCTAGTGATTTCTATAAACCCTACACCCGGGCCCAACTTGGACTTTCTTGGGATTGTCTGACTTGTCTGACCCTAAAATTGCCTGTTCCAGATAAGATGTACCACAAAGTTGAATGTCAACTGGCACTTGTTCAGGTGACAGAGGTGGAGTTGATCATTAGAAGCACCATGGTCAGCTCCATGAATTAACTAATTAATATAATAGGAGATGAAATGTTACCACGCTTTGTAGTACAGGTCTTTATTATTTCATGAGTATTAAAAACAAAACAAAAAGCATTCATTCTGATGCGTACCTGTCGAGGACTGACAATAATGCTGCTACCTGACCCCACTGGTTTAGGGCCAAGACTGAGGCTTGGACCTGACCTTTGACAGTTACCCTCTTTGTGGTCTGAGTCAATCGCCTGTCTCTTCTCACTCGTAATCCCTTCAGCACAGTTCTGAACTGTTTCACTTGTTCTTGTAGAGGAGGTTATTGAGGCAGACTCGCTATGCTTCTGACTGGTAACTCCAGCATCTTCAGCCCTGGGCAACTTGGAGGGACACTCTCTCTGAGGAGGAGCGGCCACGTTTTTGTTACTCTGGACGATATATTCTGCATAAGACAAAGGCTGGTCCACGAACCCAGGAGCAGACACTGCTAAAGATCCAGGTGAGGATGAGTTGTTCTGTCCACTTTTGGATGAAGGCACAAACTGCGGTTTTGGCTGGAAAACAATTACAAAAAACCCGCCTGAATAAGGTAAAACTATTTCTCACTTTGTTAGCAAGTTATCCTGACCAAAACCTTGTGCTGCTAAGCTGGTAAGATAACTAGGTTAATTAAAAAACCTGAATTTCACAATTGTCGTCAACCAATTGGTAGCGAATTAGCTAACGCTAAGTTAGATAGTTTTTGTGTCCCACAAAAAATACTGCTAATTTCTGGCAACATACCGGTTTTCTTTCTTTGGTGAAAGCAGAATCATCCAAGTTGATGTTAAACCTCTTCTTCATCTCTCTCAGTCGATACAAACTATTTAAGTAAATAAACGCATATTATGGATTGTGAACCACCTCTCCCTGAAGGAAACTGATAGGCAGAACAACAACAAACAATAACCCTTCCTTCTTCGACGTCTTCTTCTTTTTGCCAGGATTGGCGGTTGGCAAACCAATGTAGTGGAGCATTACCGCCACCTTCAGCACTGAAGTGTAGAACAGTACATTGACAGAAAAAAACGAAACTCTAGTAGCCTTGTATAATCGGGGTACTTAACTAATCGGTTTGTTAGGTAATTTCTTAGTCAGATAGATATTTAGAGATTTGTTGTCTAGAAATGTTTAGTGGAGACAGGATGTCTAGCTCAGGCTGTTAAATGCTTAGTTATTCTGATGTGCTTGCAGACTGCATCTAGGCCAAGGTTAATTAAATCAGACAAAGGCTGCAGGCAGGGAGGATTGTTATTATTAACTGTAATGCTAATCATAATATTGTCTTAATGTGAAATGTCATGTCAAATTGTTCTTAGATACACACCACAAATCAACAGCCACACACCCTGACTTTTCCTCATGTTTTGACTATTGTTATAGTCAGCTGCAAGCTGGCATATCAGGTGACGTCACGGTTTGACGTGCCTGGGTAGAATGGGCTATCCCAACCAAGTGATTAATATTGTATAGGTTCTTTGGTTCAGGGTCTTTCATCTTCCAAGCTGCCTGCGCGCAGGTTTGGTGGTGGGAGAGATCTGGACGTGTAATGTTAATTTTACCTGTGATCCTCTGAATAAACCAACACGGTTATTTTTTATAAAATCTAAGTGGTCTACTTCGTCTTTGTGAGTTCCTGGTTTGAAAGAGCCGGAAGAGGCTTTATAATAAAAATAGAGCCTATAGGTTGCACGTGCTCTTTACGCTTAACAAGGAGGCATACTATTGAAATACTTAACTTTATTTGGTTTAATGCTCTTATTAGCTAATTTCTTTCCTCCTCATAACCTTTATATTGTAAAAGTACACACTGAACAGATTCAGGGTGGTTACAATATATACAAGTTCCAGTTTAGTGTCTACTAACACTTCCGGCCCATACCTTTTGGCGTACAATCACAACTTCCACAGACATCATGTAAACATATAGATCTCCCTGAAGACATTTTAAAACTTATTTTAAAAATCTGCACTGAATAATCACTTACAGTATGTCTTTAAAAAAACAAACTATAATACCTTGTTATCATTTACATAGTCTGAAGGGAATTGTTAAAACTCTAACTTTACTTAACATTTGTATACCAAAATGATATATTTAAATTAGTGCTACTACCCCAACACATTTCTTTAAGCTAAAGCAGGATTTACACATTCTGACCTGATGTTTCTGATTAAGAATCTGAGACAGTGTAGGCTAGGTGACACTAATAGATGTGATTCCATCCACTGCAGTTGCAGTGATACGTGAAACCACAGAAGCTAAAAGGAGCGCCATAAGTAGGCTATATCACTTTGTTGTTAGCCTATGTGTGATTATGAGGTGGAAACTTTCAAATAACTAAGTCTCAGACAAAATGGTTTACTAGTTTCACCTCTGGGCAACTGAGGTTGACATAGTACACTACACGTATAATAATAATAATAATAATAATAATAATAATAATAATAATAATAATAATAATAACCAAAAACAAGACGTATACAGTAAACGTTTTGTTATCAGTGGAGTTACCAAGGAAACAGTGACGCCGCCATTCAAACTGCGCAGCATGGCATGTTGGGAAATCCTTTCCCATCATGGCGGATCAGTTAGTTGTGTAACATTGACGGTAGCGTATTCAGCGATTGTTTGGTCCTACAGCCATCAGTCATTTTTTACACGGAGACTGCAGCCACCGAATTATACAGGGTAATTATATGCTATGTAGCTGATAACCGCGAAGAGCGAACGAACTTGCATTGTTGAAACAAGTACCAGGTAAATGTCTTAGTAAAATAGCTAGTTAGCGTTAAATAGCAAGAGCATGCTAACAGCTAGCGGTAATGTCTTAGCTGGTGAACGAGTTGGCGGTGAATCACCGCTGAGGCCGTGGCGTGTAATCAGCATGTCTGGCTGTTACAGTTCATACGTTTTCTGGTTGGTAAACGTCCAAAACAGTTTGCGTTTCATGGATCAGTTTATAAATATCACAAAATAATTGTTATATTATCTTAAGCTTATTTTAGATGGCTAACTACAGTCAGTTGCAGTCATCTGTGAATTAACGTTAACGTTAGCTAACGCTAGCTGCTATGGTAGTGCAGGCCCGACAGTGTTCCGTGTTAAATGTGTTGATGAACTGTTTGTTGCTTAAAACCTTTTCTCTCGTAGTTTCTGATATCGATGCAGATTTTGGACAACATATAAAGATTTGCATTTGTGTGTACCTTTAATAACATAATGTGTTGAAAACACAAGGCCCGACTTAGCCTCACACGAAATCTTAAACAGCGTGTTGGCAACTGTACTTTTGGCTAATTGGCAATAAATGAAGCGATAATGTTCATTACATTTGTTAACTTAGCTACATAACCGTGAATGCTGGCATCTTAGCGTTTTTGTGTTGTTTAAGGATAATTTACTATTGAGTAGTGTATTTTAATAGTTCCCCCAAACAAAATCCCTGTTAACGTCTATGGGAGACTGTTATTATTGTCAGTGTTTGAATAGAAGTGGTTAACACGTCTTGTGATAAAAGGAATACAACCAGATCTGTGTATACATGATAGGTTTAGGACCTGCAGTAAAATAAATATTATTCCAAGTTGTCTTTCAGAAAGAGTCAATTCTGAATAAGAATGCAGGTTTTTTGATTTGATGTATTTATTCTTTCAAGCATGTAAAGACAGTTGATATATCAACACACATAATTTTACACATATCCAACAAATGCTATTCCAATATCAATTTGCTTATACCTAGTACATGCTTGAATGGAGTAGGAAGAAGTCAGACTTATCCAGTCCTACCCCCTGACATCATCTTACCATCATTGGTTTGCAAACAGTATCTCTACATAGATAATTTTCTTCTACACCACACAAGTAAAATACTAAAGAATTATTACAGAGTATTAACATTCATACACCACACCCACAATGTTCCATCTAATTAATCATTAAGCCTGTTCTTGCATATATCTTGATTGACACATACCTTTATATTTATGTTTAAACTTGTCAATTCTATTACTATTTTTTATGTCCACACTTAAATTATTCCATAGTTTTACCCCACTTATGGAAATACAAAATCTTTTTTTGGTTGTACGTATAGCATGAATTTTTAAATTTAACTGACCCCTTAAATTGTATCCCCCTTCCCTTTCATTAAATAGTTTTTGAATTCCACCAGGTAATAAATTGTTCCTGGCTTTATACAAAAACACAGCAGTCTTATATCCCACTAAATCGAAAATTTTTAACAATTTAGACTGTATGAAAGCTACATTGGTGTGATCCCTATACCCCATCTTATGCACAATTCTTATCGCTCTTTTTTGTAATATATACAATGGTTGAAGTGAGCTTATATATGTATTTCCCCAGTTTTCAACGCCATACTCTAAGTATGGTAAAATCAATGAAGAATACAAAACGTGTAGTGCTTTCCCGTCCAAAATATATCTAACCCTTGCCAATATCGATATATTTTTAGCTATTTTATGCTGAACATATCTGATATGAGATTTCCAGGAGAATTTGTCATCAACTATGACACCTAGAAATTTAATTTCATATACTCGTTCTATATTAGCTCCCCCAATTTTCAATTGAAGTTCATTATCTAGTCTACAATTCCCAAATACCATAAATTTAGTTTTATCCAAATTCAGAGATACTATATTACTGTCACACCATTTCTTTATCTTCTCAAGTTCCTGTGAAACCCATCCAGAGAGTTGCTGTAGGTTTTCACCCGATGCCCATATGGTAGTGTCATCAGCAAACAAAACCACTTTCACTAAATCAGAAACATTGCATATATCATTAATGTATAATATAAATAATTTAGGTCCCAAAACAGAACCCTGAGGCACTCCACACACAATGTGCTCGATTGGTATTCACCCAACTTCACAAATTGACGCCTCTGTGTCAAACTACTAATCCAGTTCAAAACCAGTCCTCTGATCCCATATTTTTCTAACTTATCCATTAATAACTCATGATTGATTGTGTCAAATGCTTTTTTTAGGTCAATAAATAT